TGATATGATTTTTTTTCTCAGCTTAAGCCAGATGCAAGAGGTCCAGTTCTATGCTTTGTTGGCCCACCTGGTGTTGGGAAAACATCATTAGCATCATCACTTGCTTCTGCTTTGGGTAGAAAATTTATACGTATATCCCTTGGTGGTGTTAAGGATGAGGCAGATATCCGAGGACATAGGAGAACATACATTGGAAGCATGCCAGGGTCTTATTGATGGATTAAAGGTATAACCAGTTTTATGAATTAGATATTCTGCTCTATTGCATACTGTTTTAACAGATTGTGATTGAGCTACCTGTTGATTAAGAATTAGGTCTGCAGGGACATTATTATCTGCAACTTCATTAGCTGTCAATCGCTGGTCTTAAATATGCTCATTTTTATTTATTCAGCTTGTATATTCTACCATTTCGTTCTGCAGTGTGCTGAGTGATTCTGTGCTTTACTGCATTAGTGTATGTTATTGTGGGGAGTGATGGTGCTTTTTTGCCTCATTGGTCAGTTCAAAAACCTGAAAGACATTCTAGGGATAATGAAAATTGAGTATAAACATCCTCGTGGGAACATTTATTATTCAATGACCTTTGTTCTTACCATAATGGTCTTTTTACCTTTTGGCCTCTAGAGAGTAGGTGTTTACAACCCAGTCATGCTATTGGATGAGATTGACAAGACAGGTTCTGATGTGCGTGGTGATCCCGCTTCAGCTCTGCTGGAGGTTCTTGATCCTGAGCAGAATAATCTTTTAATGATCAGTATCCTACTTTCTCTAAGTCTAGATTAACATGATGGACCTCAATTTAAAAAATATCATTTTTAACGGTATATAAGGTTGTTGAAGAGTTTACATGTCTATTTTTCATCTATTACCTTCATCATTAACATTTCATTAATGTCAGTTGATCCCTTGGGGTTCTTTAACTGAGGTTGATAGCTATTTGAACGTGCCCTTTGACCTATCAAAGGTGATTTTTGTGCTACAGCAAATAGGATGCAGCCTATTCCTCCTCCGCTTTTAGATAGGATGGAAGTCATTGAGCTGCCTGGATATACAGCCGAAGAAAAGCTTAGAATAGCCATGCAGTATTTGATCCCAAGAGTCTTGGATCAGCATGGATTGAGTTCTGCGTCCCTTCAAATTCCAGAGGTATTCGTCACACCTTCATCTTTCTACATTTTGAAGCGGTTCCTCCCTGATACTGAGATGCTTTGAAAATTTTGTCAACTGGTCTTTTTGCATCCCTATCACCTCTATGGTTGAATAACCAATTACATGACAATGTATTGAGATCTGCACAGTATTGCCTTTTTTATTCTCTCCAGAGTCCAGAGATGATCTCTAAACTGTTTCGTTTTCAACATATGACAAAATGAAGCTAATTTTATTTCTTGAACTCTTCTGTTAAATTTTAGATTGAGATGTTAGAGTAAGACATTAGATAAAAGATGCAATTTGATCAGAGTATAAGCATTAATTTTTCTGTATGATGCGTTAAAGTTTATTTTTCTGCGCAATCCTACGCCTAATATTACGTGATCTTCTCTTAATGTCTTTTTTTGGTTATAGGACATAGTTAAACTTGTCATTCAGAGCTACACCAGGGAAGCAGGTGTTCGTAATCTGGAAAGGAAGTTGGCTGCCTTGGCTCGTGCTGCTGCAGTAAGAGTTGCTCAGCAAGATCGTGCCATATCATTAGCAAAGATTTCAGAAGCTAACTTCTCCACTGCTGGAAAACAGGCTTGCTGAGGGACCTGAAATGGAAATGGAAGTCATTCCCATTGGTGTAAATAATCATGAGATCAAATGCATTCGGAATTGCCTCACCTTTGGTTGTTGATGAGGCTATGCTGGAAAAATATTGGGGGTAATTATTCCTCATTTGACTCTTATCAGGGCATTCATTTTTTACAAGCCTTATCATTCCCATTTGTATATCTTTGCAATTGTTGTTCATTTGGTGTCCTATTAATGTGGTTAACCATCAATATGCCTTTTGAACTTAAACTCTGGGGAGGGGCACACTTTTCATGGTATTAAAGCTTTCAAAAACGGGAAGTGAGTTGACTAAAGATTTGGTTTGGAGTTCTCCTTTCCTGCTGCTTCAGCTTAAGTTTCTTTATGTATATATATCCAATGACTTGAGTGTTAATGGTTACTGCATTTGAGCTCATATTTCTTTATTAACATGCCTAAGGTGTTTATTCTCTCTAATGTAGCCTCCTAGCTTGATGACCGAGAACCGCAGATCGTGTTGCCACTCCTGGATTTTCTGTTGGGCTTGTTTGGACCAATTTTGGAGGGGAGGTTCAGTTCGTGGAGGCTACATCAGTGATTGGAAACGTGAATTGCATCTTACCGGACAACTTGGTGATGTTATTAAAGAATCAGCCCAGATAGCATTGACATGGGTATCCTCTCTTAAACCACATATTTTCTACATTTGTGTTGTGTAAAATTCATCGTCATCAATGCTGCTTCTGATGATCTCAAAGTTGCCAAGGGAAATCACTGCTAATATGGGTGTTATAATCTCTTGAACCACAATTTTCTTTCAAAACGCAATCTAATCGATCAACTTTATCGATTGACAATCTGAATCAATATGGGTGTATATGCCATATATGGGTTTTTATAGAAAGATTCCCTATTTTTCAGGTAACCAGGGCAGTGGATCTTAAGTTGGCAGTTGCTTGGAAACTAATCTGTTGCAAGGCAGAGATATTCATATACATTTTCTGCTGGGGCTGTTCCGAAAGATGGCCCTTCAGCTGGTGTGACCCTCGTAACAGCGCTAGTTTTCACTGTTCAGTGAGAAAAGTGTAAGAGCAGATACAGCAATGACTGGAGAAATGACGCTGAGGGGTCTTGTGTTACCTGTTGTGGTGTCAAGGATAAGGTATGTATAGTGAAACTATTCCTACTATTTCTTTTGGCCAGCAAATAATATGTTCACGACATTGAGTGATAATATATTTTTGATATGTTCGATTTCATCTCATTTTTACAACCGGATAATATCCAGCAACAAACAGAGAGACCCGAAATGCTGCCTTTGCTTCTCATTTTTTCCGATACATCTTGTTTCTGTAATGTGAAATTTGCAGGTTCTGGCTGCACACCGTTATGGTATCAAGAGAGTTATTCTGCCAGAGAGAAATCTCAAGGACTTGGTTGAAGTACCTGCAGCTGTGCTTTCCACTCTAGAGGTAATTTACGCCACTCCATTTAAAGCAAAAATGTTAAGCACGTCAACATGTAACTAAAATTCGGTCATGTTGACTGCACATACGGCTTTGCCGTTGGTGCGAGTTCCCAAGGCATTTCCTGTTACACCTTGGAATAATATAGGTGACTTCGATCAGATTTGAATCTCAAACTCACATAATTACGATGGTCGAGAGAGTAAAACTGAATCGAAGTAATCCTCTTTTCGCTCACCGTGTATAACATATTATATTGCCAGATTCTGGTGGCGAAGCGAATGGAGGACGTATTGGAGCATGCGTTTGATGGGGGATGTCCCTGGAGACATCGAGCAAAATTATGACAAAGCCCTCAAACTCAAAAGGCACATCTAGCTAACCCGTCGTGGCATGTGACCGGTTTATTCGGCTTCGATTGATCTAAAGGAACATGTAAATGAAGTTAGCTGTTAATGGCCCGGTGAAGAGAGGTTAAAACCCTCCGCAAATGGGACTTCCTATATAGGTGTGTTTTCGAGTACCCCTGATTCGGAAAATTGCTGATCGTCGATCGTATTTTCCCTTTGCTCTGCTGTACTTCCGAGGCAAGGTATCCGATTCCATCTAATTTATCTGCTCTACCTTTTGGTGTTGTGTATAATTTATAGCCATGCAACGTACATTTACTTTTAACTTCCAATTAAGAAATACGTTAACATGATTTCCATAAACGATCAAATATTAGTATTTCTTGAATAAGCTCATTTTCTTCATTTACTTTAATATATATAAGAGCAAGGACAACGATAAGGGTATCTCGAAAATTCGGGAAAAACACTTTAATATATATATATATATATTATTAATTTAGTTTTAATTAAAAATAAGTCATAAATTATTTAGGTTAAACTTTAAATCCTCTATCCATGCCTCTAAATAAATTAAACTTTTAACCAACTATTCATGAATTTTTGGATGGAAAGTTTGTTTATATTTGTTTATTTATTGAATGGACATGAATGTGAATTTTTGTTTGTTAAATTAAATGAGTGAATACGAATAAAGTGTTTGCTTGTCTATTTATGTTCGTGAGCGTTTATATTTGATTATTTATGTTTGTTTATATTCATTCGTTTATATTTTGCTCTATCTCTATACATATTTGAAATATTAAGATTAAATAAATTTTAATCTTACATATATTAATGTTTTAAATTTTAATTATTTAAAATAAAATAAATACTCAAATCAATTAAAAAATATCAATTTTAGAAATTTTTGGTGAAAAAAATTCTTCTCAAATATAAATGTAATTAGGTTTATGTTAGTTTACGCTCGTTTATGTTCATCTATGTTTGTTTATTTATGTTCATTTATCATTTTAACGAACGTATATAAATAAACATAAACAACATAAATTTCTTAATAAACGAATACGAACAATAAATTTTGTTCATTTAATTGTTTATGTTAATTCTTTTGTTGAATTAAAGTTAAACGAATGAATATAAACATATATCGGTTTGGTCAGTTAACAATCGTATCTATCCTCTCAATTTCTCATCTCATTTCAAAAATTGACAATGTTCCTTCGCATCGACCATCATTAATTGTCGCCGCCCTTCATCGCTCCGACGACCATCTAGTGCTAAAATTTACAAGCAGTTTGGTCCGTCGGATATAATCTTATATTTATAGTGATCAAAATGAGAGAGATGCAATAGTATAATGAACAATGATGAAATTTACCAACATATTTATACTAATAATAATAATCTAACAAAATATCTTTGAATAGCCAAGTGTTCCCATATACTCTTCACTAACATCCACCACCAGACGGGGGACCAGCAAAACACCGACGGCGCCACTTCGACAACGACTGCTCTCAACTCCTTCGAGTCCTCAACTGTCTTAATTACACACCCATCTCTGTTCCCTCTCTAAAAAAAATCTTCCTTTGCTCTTCTCTGCTCTGCTTAGGTGATTTTTCACTTCCAAAAATGGCGGCTATCACTACTCTCTTAACCGACGCTTCCGTCGTCTCCACCGCCGCCGCTGATTTATCGTCTTTCCGTAGCATAACCGACCACTCCCTGTTTGAATCCGGAACCAATCGGATTAATAAACGGCGTCTCTTCATCTCTAGGGGAGACTCATTTTTTCCCATCAGATCCATGCAAAACATCCAAACCGGAGTTGTTACTTCCACCAACGGCCATTTCAACGCCGTCAGTTTCGGTTTTCGTTTCAGACCTTTTTTTTCAAATTTCTTTTTATGTATTTGTTTATGATTGTTGTTTTCGATTTTCAGGACAAGGTGAAATCTCCGGCTGAGGTGTTGGACGGTGAGGGTTTAGGACAAATGCAAATGAACTCGAGTCCTCGGAGGAAAACCAAGATTGTCTGTACCATCGGCCCTTCGACGAGCTCGCGTGAGATGATTTGGAAACTGGCCGAGGCCGGAATGAATGTGGCCCGATTGAACATGTCCCATGGAGACCATGCATCTCATCAGAAAACCATTGATCTAGTTAAGGAATACAATGCTCAATTCGAAGACAAAGTTGTTGCCATCATGCTCGACACCAAGGTATATCCATCTTCACGCAACATATGTTCATGTTGAATGGAACAGCTGTCTGATTGTTGAAGTAAATCTGATTTGTTCTTTATGCAGGGTCCCGAGGTTCGAAGTGGCGATGTTCCTCGACCGATTCAGCTTAAAGAGGGTCAAGAATTTAATTTCACTATCAAAAGAGGAGTTAGTACGGAGAACACCGTCAGCGTAAACTACGACGACTTTGTTAACGACGTGGAAGCTGAAGACATACTCTTGGTAGATGGTAAGAAGAGATTTCATTTTGATGTCTTTGTAAGCTTAAGCTGAGTTTTTGTATTTTGATTTAGAATCCTTGTTTTTCAATGTATGATGCTATAAACTGAATCGGTTGAATAAGTACAACGAATTGTTCGTATCAGTGATACAATTAATTGCTTTTGTTATGTTATATCCTCTTGGATAAGTAAAATCATTGTCTGTTAACCTCATCCTGTTATCTTCTCCTGCATTTAATGTTTTTGATCTGTAACATGAAGAAACCGGTGATTCGGTTATGCTGTTAAATTCGTTTTCACTATATGTTTCTAGTTGTTCATATCACAATGACTGGATCGGGGAAGTATTTGCTAATCAAAAGCACATTTTTTGTCAAGTTTTTACTTTTACACGTAAATTGATGAGTTGATTCGTGTCTCTATATGCCAGGTGGAATGATGTCGTTAGCGGTAAAGTCAAAGACAAAGGATTTGGTTACCTGTGAAGTAGTTGACGGCGGAGAACTGAAATCAAGGCGTCATTTAAATGTGCGTGGAAAAAGTGCCACTCTGCCGTCAATAACAGGTTATTCATGCAGCTGTTTCTACGTTCTGCGTCCTTAATCATGGTCAACTCTTTCCAATTTTGTTTGCTAATCAAAATTTTGGATGTTATGCATCATGTTCACAGACAAAGACTGGGAAGATATCAAATTCGGGGTGGACAACCAAGTTGATTTTTATGCTGTTTCTTTCGTGAAGGATGCTAAAGTAGTCCATGAGTTGAAAGATTACCTTAAAGGTAAAATAATTCTAGTTTAACTATAAAGGGTGCGTACGATATTATTATATACGGTTTCCACAATTGTCACTGTTTGTTACCGAACTCTTTTGCAGGTTGCAATGCAGATATTGATGTGATTGTGAAAATCGAAAGTGCTGATTCTATACCAAATCTTCACTCGATAATTTCCGCTTCTGATGGGGTTTGTTTTGATATTCCTGAACAATGTGTTTATCTCAAAATGCTTTAGAAGGACATGTAGACTGAGATTTTGGTATCTGAACTGAAACTTTACTGATTCCATAGACTTCATTTTAGGCAATGGTTGCTCGAGGAGACCTTGGAGCCGAACTTCCAATTGAGGAGGTTCCTTTATTGCAGGTAAGTTTTGATTCTTGATGCGTCTCCTTTTAACTCTGGATGAGAAACTAGGTTTAATAAATGCACGTGCCATCTTTTTTCCCCAAAAAAACTTGAATGGAATGCTATACTGAGAACGATGAAGTGGTGTAAACCCGGTATACTTTCCGTAATTGAGAAATTTATGGAAGATACATTTCCAAATATATACCAACTTGTCTTGTTGTTATTCTAACAGGAGGATATCATCAGAAGGTGTCGCGATATGCATAAACCAGTAATCGTGGCAACAAACATGCTTGAAAGTATGATTAATCATCCTACGCCAACAAGAGCCGAAGTTTCTGACATCGCGATTGCTGTTCGAGAAGGTGCTGATGCAGTTATGCTTTCTGGTGAAACTGCACACGGAAAGTGAGTTAACTCGGCTAAAATTTGTTTCTAATCTAACTGAGCGGTACTTATATTCCCCGGTTATAACTTTTATTATATTTTCAACTCTTCCTCTTTATCTATTTGTAATTAATATAGTTAGAAAAAGCTTGATCTCGTACAAGTGTGTAAGCTGATATTTAGGTAATTGTTAGATGTTATTAGGAAGACGTGCTCTCCGCTAGGATCGTTAATGCTTGGTCGTTTTAGATAACTTAATCTGACATATACATTATGACATAATTTTTTTGGTATTTTCATCTTAAATGTTGGCTAATTTTCCATTGATGACAATAATCATAGGTATCCGATTAAAGCTGTTAAAGTTATGCACACCGTGGCATTGAGGACAGAGTCAAGTCTTCCAGTCAGTGTTATGCCTCCGGTTCGTTTTAATGCTCACAAGGTAATCGATTTTCTGGATTTGCTAAATATCAATCAAGTTTGTTTCGTTTGCCGTGTGCCGTGATAATACATATCATTCAATTTCTTAAGCACCTTTTTATAGTTTTGCTTTCCTATCCCGACCTTGTTAGGGCGTTCTTTTGCAGAGTCATATGGGTGAAATGTTCGCTTTCCATTCAACAACAATGGCTAACACTCTTGATACACCAGTCCTGGTTTTTACAAGAACCGGATCCATGGCTATACTATTGAGTCACTACCGTCCTTCCTCTTCGATCTTTGCCTTCACAAACGAGTAAGTTTTAGTAGCTTTACTACGTAAAACTATTCTTTTCTCATTATCTGGATTTGGTTTTGATGAATGGTTGCAGCTTGGCTTCATTATGTTGTAGTTACGGTTCCGACAATCACTTTACAGCTGAATGATAGTTTAATTAAGAAGTGTTTAGGTATTCCAAATTAGAACTTGTTTTCGTTCCCTATTCTCACTATTGTGCCATAATTTTTGTTCTTGGCAGGGAAAGGATTAAGCAGAGACTGGCACTTTATCAAGGTGTGATACCGATATATATGCAGTTTTCAGATGATGCGGAGGAGACGTTTTCCCGAGCACTCAAGCTGTTAAGGGTAAATATCCTATCTAGATTCTTCAGTTCTATATGTTTGTAACCCAATTTAGGGGGCTTATCAGAAAGAAGAAAGATGCTAGCGATAAGCTGGCACTCCTTCCGGAATCCGGATGGACTATCCGGATTAAGAATACCCCAAGATTTGTGTTGTGAAAGTCCTGTGTTTCGATTCAATTTTAAGAGTCTTATGCACTTCACAGATAGACTAAATTGCAGTGCATGATAAGCTTTTGTTATACAAAATTTCTATGACTTTTAGGACAAGAATTTGGCGACGGAGGGGGACTCTGTTACTCTCGTCCAAAGTGGAGCACAACCGATCTGGCGTCGCGAATCCACCCATCACATCCAAGTTCGAAAAGTCGAACCATGATTCTCTTATGCAAGAATAAAGACTCTTTTTCTTGTCACAAGTTCCTAAAGAGTTGGTAAAGACACTCTTTTTCTTTGTCACAGAAGTTACTAAAGTGTTGGTAAATGATATACATGTACTCAATTTTGTTTGTAATTTCCTTTTTTCGGTAAATAAAGATGAAAATTGTGACAATTCTCTAAATAATATATATATTTGAGCCAAATAACCATCTAAGATGCTACAACTGATGATGGAATCTTTGATTGCAACCACAACTCCAAACCCTCCCTCGTTGCTCGAACGGTTCTTCAAATGAGAACCGAAGGAATTGGACAGTACTCAAGCGAATTGATGAGTTCCGGTACCAGTTTGAGCCGAGAACAGCCCCCGCAATGCTTCTCCGCGCTTAATGATTCTGGCCAAAGTCCCCAACTGCTCTTCGAGCGTAGTCAGTGCCACACCTACAGAAAGCGTTTGAACATTCAGATTTCAGACTCCACTTGAACCTTGTTTTATGGTGCTCTCTCATGGAGATTCTTGCTTTGACGTATATCGATCGTGAACATACTTTTCGGTCTTCTTGCATCATCTCGAGTGTCACCGAGGATAGCCTTGAACTCTTCTTTGACAGTGTCAAGACTACTTTTCTCGTCTTCGATCAATTTCCTGAATGCGACTAACCGAGGATTGGCTTGATCCAAGCAAGCAAGAACTGTATAGATATCCTCTGTTTTTGTACAGTGTAGCTCCAACTATCTGGCCTATATCGCTCTGACTGCTGCATATGCATGAAAAGATTAAGCCTTCTCGTTTGGATTTGAGCCGGACCAGACCTTGGTCGAATTTTATTTTGGGATTCGGGTTCGGGTTTTGTGAATGATAAGATTAAGTTTGGATTTAAGATAAAGACTCCTAGTCCGATCCTAGATAATAATATAATATAATATCCTCTGGATTATATATATATATATATATATATATATATATATATATATATATATATATATATTCAACTAATTTTTAATTTTGTATGAATTAAGTGACCTCAGTAGTTAAAAAAGATTATTGTTATCTTTAGAGATCTCATATTCGAACACCAACGGTTGTCGGGATTTTGAGCTTTTATTGTTAAATGATTGGGTGTCTTTCGAACATATATTACCACTTATAATCGTCATATATTAATAAATATATATATATATATATCGAGTCAAATTTGATCGGATGTCAACTATCGGGTGAGGTCAAATACTCATCCGACCCGACCCAAGGCATTCCCAGCTGTTTTTCTATATCTATAAAGACCGAAATGTCCCTTGACCTGGCCTGCATATCTTTACATACAACGAACTGTTCAAAGCTCTTTTTAATTTTTAACTTCCTTTTTTCCTTCCAAATTATCTCCTTCACCGAGGCTTTGATCACCGAACTGAAATCGAACGCGAACGCTCTCTATTTCTCCAGATCCGGTCCCGTCGCCGGTTTCAGCAACCTCCGATCCAATCAGTTCACCAATTGATTTCACTTTATTTAGCGTGTTACGCGATCCACTGGATCGAAGATGCCGGTGGCCGCTTCTGCAATCTACTTCTTGAATCTGCGCGGTGACGTCCTCATCAATCGTCTCTACCGCGACGATGTCGGGTAATTCTCTCTTTTCTTCTTTTCAGTTCTAGCTACTATTAAATTAATAGATTTAGGTAACCGTAGTATCACCGTGAATGAATCGAGGTTTCTCCGAATAGCTAGGTTTATATTTTTCCATGAGACGATGGAGTTTTGCTGAGTTTTTTATTTTAATTGTTTTTTATTCGTATAACTTTTCATTAGGGGAAATATGGTGGATGCCTTCCGAATGCACATTATGCAGGCAAAAGAACTCGAAACTTGTCCCGTGCGACAGATTGGAGGCTGCTCTTTCTTTTATATGAGAATTAGCAATGTTTACATCGTAATTGTTGTCAGCAGTAATGCTAATGTAGCTTGTGCTTTCAAGTTCGTTGTTGAGGTAGTGGAAGATTTCTTGTTCTTTATGTTTAATATGAAAAGATTAGCCTCGTATTCCATTATAAAAATGTGCGATCCTTATCATCTGTCACAATTGATGCTTGCATTTTTTCTTCCCTTTTTGCAGGCTGTTGCTTTGTTTAAATCATATTTCGGTGGTGCTTTTGATGAAGATGCTATTCGTAATAATTTCGTTCTGATTTATGAATTGTTGGATGGTATGTATTCAATGACAGATGAATGCTTCTCCTTCAGCATGCATTGTCTTTCTTGATTTCTAGCATGTTTAGATTCTGTTTCTTTTGGTTTGAATCATGATATTCTATTGCAGTGCTTTATTGTACATTTGGTGGTTAGCTATGATTCTTGACTTTTGGTCTTATGGATTGTGATAGTAAGCTTGGTTTACTTTGTTTTTACTAGTTGTAGCTGCTGGAAGATTGAAGATTGCTTGTAGATTCGGTTGATAAAAAAACTGAAAACTAAATAATTACTATAGGCATTTGTTTTGTAGAAAGGATTCAAGGAAAGAGAAAATCATTTAAGGCTGAGTTCATTTGAGTTACTAAATGTCTGATTCATTGATTTTCATTGCAGAGATTATGGACTTTGGCTACCCACAAAATCTTTCTCCTGAAATCTTAAAGCTTTACATTACTCAGGAAGGAGTTCGGTCTCCATTCTCATCCAAGGCAAGTTATATTTTGTGAGTTATGGATTATTGTATTTGAGGATTGATGCATGAAGGCGATGCTTATATGGCATATATAGATTTAGTTTGTGCTTTCATTTTCATGTAAAGTTACATTATAACTAACCATTTCCATTTGCGGTGTGGAACAAATCATTAGCCTTCAGATAAGCCTGTTCTAAATGCAACTTTACAAGTCACAGGTGCTGTTGGCTGGCGAAGAGAGGGACTTGTTTATAAAAAAGAATGAGGTGATCTTGCTTCTGAGTTCTGTCAAATTCCTTTCTATATTGAGTGTGGCTGTTCAATGGTATTAACATTTGTTTGTTTCAGGTGTTTCTGGATATTGTGGAAAGTGTAAACCTACTGATGTCTTCAAAAGGTTGATACTGGTTATGTCAAGTGTTTTTATTGATGTCTGCTTGCTCTAATATAAACCATTTTGTGATTGCAGGCAGTGTTCTGCGTTGTGATGTTACAGGGAAGATTCTTATGAAGTGCTTCCTTTCTGGAATGCCTGATCTGAAATTGGGCTTGAACGATAAAATTGGGCTCGAGAAAGAATCACAATTAAAGTCCCGTCCTGCTAAGAGGTGGCTTCTAATTTTCTGCTATTCTCATCCTTTTATTCTCTGCCTTCTTCATATATCATCATCTTGTTTGCTTTCTTGTCAATGTTTTTATGATTAAATTTGGATTTTTTATGGGGCTTTCTAAAGGGTTACATAAAGTGCCCACTTTATAAAATTTTGTATACTCTGGTTATATACTGCTGTCGTTGCCTTTTAAGTCAATCTTCTGATACTGGTTTCAGGGCAAGCAAGTTGAACTTTCTAACTTTTAATCTCTTACAATGCTGCTACTTATTGCAGTGGCAAGACAATTGAGCTGGATGATGTTACTTTTCATCAGTGCGTAAATCTTACAAGATTCAACTCAGAAAAGACTGTTAGTTTTGTGCCACCAGATGGTGAATTTGAATTAATGAAGTAAGCTTAGAAGTCTTATCCATTATATATCTTGTAGTTCAAGTTTATGATATATAGTATCATGCAGAGCCAAGTTTGGTGAGTTCCATGTTATCCGTAGCTTGCTTCTTATGCTAATGCAGTATGCCCATTCTCAGCGTCAGCGTGTTAATTTTAGAATGATTTTGTTGATCATATAGATCCCATGAACCTAGAAACCTGGATATACTTCATGAAAGGGAATTCTTTCGACAATACATAATTCTTTTATGTATGCATGATTAAAGTTCCTTCTAACTTCTTGTCCGATGAATGCTTAGGTACCGAATCACCGAGGGAGTTAATCTTCCTTTCCGGGTTGCCAACAATCAAGGAGCTTGGTCGAACACGAATGGAAGTAAATGTTAAGGTTTGTATTCAAACGTTTTCGAAATTCCTATAATATGGAAGTTTATGGATCTGTAATTGGCTTTTTATTATCAATATTTTAGGTTAAAAGTGTCTTTGGAGCAAAGATGTTTGCTCTTGGGGTTGTCATCAAAATTCCCGTTCCAAAACAGACCGCGAAAACTAGTTTCCAAGTAACATCAGGTCGAGCAAAGTATCAAGCTTCTATTGATTGCTTGGTTTGGAAGTAAGTGTTTTAGTTTGTTAATATAGCATATCTTCTGTACTACATTTTTATGTTGAAATTCTTGCTGCTTGTTTTTTTTTCATCACAAAGTGGACCAGCCAAAACGATAAGTTTGTGCTGCAGCCATCTGGTTGCCAATTATCAGTAGTTTTCACTCTACTTTGCTTCGTCTCTAGATTGACTAAAGCAATTGCTCAATGTTATATTCGTCTGGTATTTTAGGATAAGAAAATTCCTGGGCAAACAGAACCAACCTTGAGCGCAGAAGTGGAGTTAATTTCGACGATGGTAGAGAAGAAATCTTGGACTAGGCCGCCAATTCAGATGGAATTTCAGGTGCCAAAATTGATTAATATTTTACTTCTTGATTATGTTGAATTAGTCTGCTTGTTTTAATGCAATATCTTTTCGAGTATAGTAAAGGAAAATATTAGATACGTTTTAGTTCGTGAGTTATTTGTAATCCATGTCAGTGGTACTTTAGGCTCCCTTTTTTACCCTCCTAATGATCCTTGAATTTCCATGCATGCTAGATGAATAGAAAATTGGAACTTTGGTTTTTTTTTTTTGAGGGGGGGGGGTGTCAGAACAATTGGATGGTCAATGGAGATAAAAGGAAGAACCAAGGTCCTATTTGATTAATTACATTTCATGAAAAATGCCGAAGGCCTTGATTCTTCCTTTTAACCAAATGTCTATGAAAGCCTTCAGACTGGTAAAACACATCCGTAACTTATTTGTGTTTTCTTCTCAGGTTCCGATGTTTACAGCCTCTGGTTTACGTGTCCGGTTTCTTAAGGTGAGCAATAAGCATACATATTTTTTCTGAACGTACAAGTGATTCC